TAAAAATCAGTCTGCCCATTCATGTCTGCCAAGCAAACATTTTCTTGACAAAATTTACATTCAGATTTCCCCATCAAGTTAATTTTGCATGTGAACATATATCAAAATACAATTGATGAGAAACTATATGTCACCCCTTTCTTACTGCTGTAACTTTGGGACACACCTTAGCCATTTTGGTATACCAAACCAAATGCCATTTAGGAAGAAGCTTCAAACATGAATAGTCCAAAACTGACTGGGGAAAAAGTCTAATCTGAGGAGAAAAGAGCAAAATTTAATAGAGGTTAACAAGTAGCCTAATTAGGGAAGAGTGCTCAGGGAAGCCAAACCCACCCTCTTTAATTGAATGTTGCATTCTTTTCAAGGACCACATAGGAATTTATGAAACAAAGTACTACATTTTTAAGAGACCTGCTGGACATAAATAGAGGCCTGGGTCCACTTCTTCCAAAATACAGTATTTCAAGCTAGATGCCTCTGACTGAACTGGAGAAGGTGGTGGGGTTCGAATTCTTAGCCGAAATGTTAAAGCAAGCTTTGAGATATGCCAAATTACTGTTGAGAACCAGTTCATCACTGGTTTAGAAGAAAACACAGGAGGCTCAGATGGGGAGGGAAGTCCTGTTATTTGATGCCCAATCAAGAGAGCTAGCTCATTGAATAAAGTCCAGCATTGCCTCCATCTGGCCAAGAAACAGTGGGAACCTCTTTGAGGGTGGTGTGTGTGTGTTTGTTTGTTTATTCGATTTATACCCTGCCTTTTTCCTACAAAGGGCTCAAGGCAGCTTACATTATTCTCCTCCTCCATCTTATCCCCACAACAACAACCCTCTGAGGTAGGTTGGGCTGAGAGTCTGTGACTGGCCCAAAGTCACCCAGTTGGCTCCATGGCTGAGCGGGGACTAGAACCCAGATCGTCTGAGTCCCAGTCCCTGCTCTTAACCACTGCACCACACTGGCTCTCACCTTTTAGTCTTTTGCTTATAACCACTACATTACTCTCTTTGCATTACGAAGCCAGTCCTGGTTGGCCTGTTTTTACATAATAAAATACTGCAGTTAGAAGCCTCTCATCTTCATCTACTGGGAAGGGAAAAGGTGAGAAGTCAAGGGGAAGAGAATGGCTTATGGCAAATACCATATAAAGTAGAGATAACCTTCGTAACTGGTGTTAGGTATGCCATTCCAGCCCTGAGTCAATCATTTTTAGCTGGAGTTGCTGGCTAAGCCAAAAATTATAGTAGTCACTCCCTCTTCTCTGCTTGTCAAGCAAATGCCTTACCCTTCAGGAGGTTTTCCAAGAAAGATGTGCAGAGCAGTACAATGTTGTGCAATTGTAATTTGCATACATAGTACATGCTTCTACAGCACAGCTGGACATATTTTCCTTATGTGCCTGCAAGTGCTTTGTTGTTTAGAGTCCTATGCCATTAGGAGCCTATGCAGCATAGCAGAAAATCTTTGACTGCAATAAGTGCAATAAACTATTTTAGTCAAGATTTACAGAAGGGGTTTCATGAACTCCAACTAATTTTTTTTTGGAGTGAAGAATAGTAAAATAAACCTAAGAAAAAGAAGATTAAAAACAGATGAACATGTAACACTAACCTTAAGAATATCATACTAGGTATTTGATGATATCACTTTATCCTTATATCTTTGACATTTCATTGCACTGATACTGTTACATTAAATATCCCAGGATATAGTCCTTTATCTTGGAAACATTACTGAAAATTCTACCAGTAGAGTCCATTGAGGCTATTTTTGGCAAGGGGAGAAGATATGGTTAAGCTTGAACAAGTTTTAGGTTTTTACAGGAGCCTGGGTTACTTGCATTATTTTTCACAATGTTAACAGCCATTTTTATGTCAACAATTAACTGGTTTGGGTTTCATACTACAGGAACTGCATTTTTCACTAGGAACTTAAGCAATTATATATAACAAAGTAGTAGTTGTGCTGGCCTATTAGGGAAGAAAAATGCAATATCAATAGTCAAGCCAACCAGAATTCTGCAAAATTGTGCAAGCTTTCAACTTTATCCAGAACTCTTCATCGAACTTTCATAAAGATAGGAGATGAAAAGGCTGGGGATGGGGATGTTATGGCAATGAATTCTGCAATTTAGTCTCAAAATGGCAATTTTAGTTTGAATGAACTAGGGGTAGAACCAGAAAATTTGAAGAATTTTCATCCCCTCCAATTGATGTCAATTTGACCTCAACTGACTATTTTACTTAGTGCATCACCTGAAATTAACCTGGCTTTGTTGAAGTAAGGACTGTCATGTTTCTGTAAACTTCTGCTTTATGATATTCCAGGAGCCTCCATGTTTTGCCAAAGGTAAGAGAACATTTTCTTGTTCTCACAAATTATGATTAGGCTTTGCTTCTCCTTTCCAAAGTTCATTGCTAGGTGTAATCTGATTAATTTGTTAACCTGATTAACCTATCACTGATTAATTAAGTCAGATTGCACATCTTATAAGACCGGGTTCATCAAAACTGCAAACATCATAGCCATAACTTTTGGACTTCATTTCTTCCACAAAATATCATTGGGTCTCCCTTGTTCTTCAGCAGAATTCTTGAGTTTCACCTATTGAAACTCAGAATCAAAGAATCCTTGTTAAAGAAATCAAATGATACTTTCTTCATTTTAGTAGTATAACTTCCAAGCAGGGAGAATTCATTTTGTTATTAATATGATTTTTTAAATGGTATTTAGATGTCCCTGTTGATCAACTGGAAATTGCTTCAGAGTCTACCAGTAGATTCAGATCTTTATTCTGCCCATTCCTGTTTGGTTATGAAGGCTTGCAGAATTTTGTGGAAGTTTGATTAATCCTAATAAAGGTATCACCCAACTGTCCTTGTTGCATATGGTTGTACATAAAAAGCCTGACATGTCAAGAAACAGCTCCACCATTTCTGGAAGATCAAGTGACTAAGCAGTGATAAAGCCTGAGCACAAGGCCTACCAAGATAAATAGATGTGTCTTTTCAGAAGTTTATAAACCAGGTGTAATTTCTCAGACATTGATGTAATGGTTAGGAGTGTGGGATTGGGACGCAGGAGAACTGGGTTCTAGTCCCCACTCAGCTATGCAGGTTACTGGGTGACTTTGGACCAGTCATAGACTCTTAGGCCAACCTACCGTATGCGTGCACACATCTCTAATCTTTAATATACTCTAGTATTTAATGAATTTCACTGCTGCTCTAGCCAACTCTGCAGTTCCCTGATTATTACTTATTTTATTACAAGAACCTGCATCTGCCTTTTCCAAGCAAAGGATAGGAATGAAAGGAAGTAGTTACCCAAAGCTTTTTTATTTGATATTTTAATAATTATTAATATTATTTATTGGTTTTAAATTTTTAGCCAGGATGAATCCAGATTTTATATGTACTTTCTGTATGATTGTTTATTTATGATGTTGGAAGCCATCCCGAGGCTTATGCAAATGGGACAGCATACAAAAATTCCAAATAAATAAATAGATCTAAGCAAGAAGCAATATTCTACGACCAGTAGCCGGAATAAGTTCTCCCTAACTCTTAATGCCAGGTGCATCTTTTTGATGTACAGAATAAGTCTCTTACCAAATGTGAAAGCAATATCATACAGATTTTCAAGCACATTCTGCCTTGCCAAGACAAGGTTCAGCGCTAGAGCTATCTGGGATCCACATGAAGGAACTGTAGCGTACCATGCACCCAAGTACTCGAGGTACAGCATTCTTTTGCTATGACACTACATGGGGAAGGAGCTGCAAGTTCATTACTGTGTGGCTAAGAGTCTTTAGGCATTTTAGTGTGCAGTTGTCCAGATATTTCCATCTGTAGACGCAAAACTGCAAGGAAGACTGAGCACTCACCACAGTTGCCAGACGGCAATAGCTACTTTCCGTGATGAGTAAGTTTGTTGAAACCTGTTACTGGTTTTCATGAAGGACGGAACCAGAACCTTTCTATGTGATCGGGTCAAACACAGCTCAGTTATTCTCTGCATGATGCACTCTCAGCCTGTTATAATGACATGATATCTTTTTATACCTAAATCAGTGTAAAAATAGATACTCTGATCATAGCAGCTGTGTTGCAGTTCACCATTTTAAAAATTCTAGGTAGACATATACTCCACCACAGCATAAGGGAGTACAAAGCCACCTATGAAAACCAATATTAAAGTGGGTAACAGGGTGGTGGTTTTTCTGTGTTTTCACTGCTTTTAAATAATATTCCTTTAAGAGTATTTCATTAGGCACTATTTACCAAGGTAAATAGTATTTATCCTACTATTAGTATACTATTTATCCTATTAGTAGGATAAATAAATGGTAAATAGATTTTTAATACTATTTCCAAGGGTTAGGGCAAGGGCAAGGACAAATAGTATTAAAAATCTAAAGAAAGAAAGAAAATTGCAAATTATGATATGTATTGTTGAGGTGTGTATAAAACACGTAACATTACTTGTCACTTGTTGCTCACTATTGACGTTACGTAATACATGTACATTCTATAGAGGAAGCATCTTATTTTCCAATACTGTACTTTGTTCAAGAAACATTATGTCCTTTCAGCAATGCACAAAACTGTTCAAAATGTGAACAAATGGATAACATCCACATACATGTATGAAAACTGTACAGTAAATCCACCATTTTCTTCACTCTCTGTTTTGAGAAAATAATTAATTCTATAATTTCACATATGATTCTTTGATAGAAAAGATTGTTTTTCTCCCAGACTATAAATTGATGGCATAACATCGAATATTTTGTATTAATGCAGTAAATTATAATGGCAGATCTATATGAGCATTGTTTTTACAAATTTGTAAATACCCATATACCTAAAAATCCATTTGCTACCCTCCATGTATACCTTAACCAAACTTCCAAGATCCATGTTTCTATTTGTAAGGTTATTTTGATTTAACAAATGTAAGACTGCAGTTAATAGCTGACAGTATTTTTTCTCTTTTAGAATACTTGCAGTGGAACTGGAGTTGATCTTTCTGTACTAAACGAGACTCGCAACATTGTGTCTGATCTCCTGTGTGATCCAGTCCTTCCCCCACATGTGATTTCTTCCCTCAGAAGTATCAATAGCTTGATAAGTGCTTTATCAGGCTCATGTAAACCAAAAGTTAACCTATTTACACCTTTTCCGGGCTTTCACCTCTGTCCAGAAATGGAAGACTCATCTGAAAGAGGAGATCGTAAGCTGCATAAGGTCAAAATATATCAATTATGATCAATTACAGTGCAAAACCGCAAAATTGGTAACTTGCGTATTTTTCTGGCTTAGAGTGCAGGCAGAAATTATACAACTTTGGAAAACAGAAACAAAATCACATTATATACATATTGTATGACCATTAATAACTGTGTTTGACTGTACTGACCAATTGTGTGTTAGATGGGACCACAACCTTTTTTGTCCACCTTAAAGGAAAGTAGGGCAAAAAAGGGGGACGATATTTGTCTCTCACAATTTTATTTAATCCTGAATAAAACCTTGCAGCCAAATAATTGGCAGGTAAATTCAATGCAAGTCACAGCTGGCAAAAGGAACCCTGTGAGGGTTTGGATATTGGACCTAGCTGCATTGTATCTCCTTGACTCCTTCCTCCCTCCAAATTCTCTGTCATTGTTTGACTTTCTGTTAGTATTGCACTGACCTATCACTACTTTAGACTTTTCTTCTGTCTTACTTTCTTTTTGGCTTCTCCATTCTTCAGTTTCATATCTTCACTAAGCATTGCCTTCTCACAATCCTGTATTTTCTTCACCACTGCCTGTTTTGTCTCACTTCTTTTAGCCAACCTCTTTCTTGACTTACTGTCCTGATATTCCTCTTTCCTTTGTTCCATATCATATAATCTTTCACCCACATCATACGGACTCTCCTCATCTTAAGTGCTGTGCAGCTTCTTCCACCAATCCCCTCTTCGTTTAGACACTTCTCTGTCTTCTCTGCCCTTCCAGTTTGCTTTCCTCCCTCCCTCCCTCCCTCCATTCTGGTTCTTCTTTTAGCCCATTGTCAGTTTTGTACTTTCCCTTCGGCTTTGGGGGCTCTGTCCCCTAGGTCCCGTATGCATTGAATTTCTTTTCTGTCTTCTATCCCTGTATGAGGTTTTAGACCTAGCCAAAATGAAAATTTACTATTCCTTCCAGGAACAGGATTGCAAACTGTTTCATGTCCTAAGAAACTGAGCATTCAGATTCACCACACCAGCTCAGGCAATCATTGAAGGAGGTTTACTTGTGCAGTATAGAACTTTTAATTCTTATGCTTATGCTAAGCTGTTTCTCTAGGGCAAGGGTGGACAGCAAAACAAATGGAAAAAAGAGCCAGACATTGTCCTTTTATTCAAACACCTGTTTTCTTGGAATAGCTGTCTGAAAGTTAAAATTTTTCAGGCAGTTGCAATAATTATTACAGTGTAATGTAGCATAATAATTGAAGAAACAATTGACTAATAATTGAAGGCAAAAGAAGAAGGGGACTGCAGAGAATGAGATTTCTGGATGGAGTCACTGGTACAGTGGGCATGGGCTTGGGTGGACTCCAGGAGATAGTGGAGGGCAGGAGAGCCTGGTGTGGGGTTGTGGGCACAACTTTGTGATCGAACAACAACACAAACAATAATAACTATTTATACTGAATAATACATTAAGTTTCTGTGCTGCAGTAGGACTGTTTTCTGTTAGAAAAATGTGACCTTTCTTAACTTTTTCAACAGATACTAAACAGCCGAAATAGCTTACCAACGCCACAGTTAAGGCGTAGTTCAGGAACCTCTGGGCTGCCGCCTATTGAACCATTGTCTAGATGGGAACGCAGTAATGGCAAACGTTTGCATCATGAGTATAATCCTTTAAGGTCAGCATCTTATAAATAGAGGTCTTTTTCCTGTTGGCATGTTTCATGTACAGCTCTCAGAAATTCTTGAGGATGAAAGCTTTATTGTATCCATAGAAGTCTTCCAATAATGGGTGTCTATTAAATGAATTCCTAAACACATAAATTTGTGATATTTGCTTATTGGTTGCTCATCTATTGAGTCAAGATAGAACCCATTGACCGAAGTAAGATCATATAGCTATCATCCAGGGAGTGGAAATTGTTACTTGAGTACCGTTCTCTCTCTTTTCTATACACACACACACACACACTCATTCCGCCAGCCAGCCAGCCAGCCAGCCAGACACACACACACACACACACACACACACACACACACACACACACACACTCATTCCTCCAGCCAGAAAGTAAAATACTGGGCTTTGAAAAACCTGGATTGTACAAAATGTCTGTTAAATTGTATACTGTGCATTTCTTTTCAAGCTTTCAAACAGCAGGTGGCATCATTGAGCAAAATAGCTGCTGGTATTTAGTCAGTTTCCAGAATAGGAGAGGACAGAACATCTTAAATATTTTTTAAGATTATTGGTATTATATTTGAATAAAGGATCAAAATAGCATTGATGCACTAAGCACAAGCTTTGCCTTCTGATAGAATTGTTTAATTTCTGTAAAGCTATATAAATGACAGAACACTGAAATCTAGTTTGTCATTAACAGAATAAAGATACTTTAGCTACAGTTGTTTTCCATATGCACCAGCATTTTAGAAAACTGATGGTGTTAAGATTTACTATGGAAGAGGTTGGCAACACATATCTATATGTAGTAGAAAATTATTCAACATAATACAGGAAATAACTCTTTATTGACAAATTCAGTGTGTTTCAACCACCTGAGGAAGAGGAGAAGCCACTATGGTATAAGAGATAGGTGGGTTTGGGTTAGATGTATATGTGAGAGACTGTGTGGATTTGGGGGTGCCACAAAACAAGGAAAAATGGGGATAGGAAGAGAAAATGGTTAGGGAAAGATGAACAGAATGTTGAATGAAACCAACAAATCAACACACAGTTATAAAAGTACATGCATAATAGTATGATAGAAAAACATTAAAAAAGACCTATCCCAATAACAGTTTCCCATTTCCCAGTAACTACAGAATGAGAGCAGCATTGTCTGAAAAGTACTACTACAAGTTGGAAGATTATTCTTTAACCAAAGATGGCCAGTGAAAATAAAGTGTTATATTTAGTGTTGGGTGAGAAATGTCTGTGCTTCACATTTTGGTGAATACTGACAGAATTTGCATCTCCTGAATGTAAACACGATTTGGAACAGTTAGATATTGTAATCTGTATTTCTTTAAAGCTTACAATGCAGTTTGCAAAATAGCATAAATTTGAAATGCCATACATTTGAAATGTTGTGTTAAAAAAGGATACTTTTGGAAAATGTTTTATTTAATGGAATATTCATTAACCAACAGTGTACATTTGAAAACTCTAGAAAAATCTGTACATTTCAGAAAAACACACAAAAATCTGCATCTTTTGACAAACGTGCAGTCTGATGTGGAAGTGGGTTGGAATGAATTTAGCAATGGAAAATGAGAACTGGAATGGAATTATGTTTGTCAGATTCACCCATGTCTTAATGCTGAATTCTTGTCAATGAAAACAACTTCATGTAAAATTATTTGCTTTTAAAAACGTTTGTTCATGGGATACTTCAGCTAACGCAGTGAAAACATAAAATACTTGTCTTTAATAATTACTATCAAAACTGATTGCTAACAAATTCCTGTTTTGTTTGTGCAAAGTAAAAACAAGTGAAACCAGCTTTATGTAATGAGAGACACTTTAGACACACTATATATAGCTATGTTATACAGTGCATGCTTTACTACACTTGATTCAAAATGCTGAATTGAACCTTTACAGATAGGCATTAGTTTCCTTTGAGCAATTATTGTGATATTAGAGTTAAACAAAATGCTATAAATTTTTGACGTAGAGGCTCTCCACTTGTCTCAAGCAGTACAATAGGCATCTACTTATACAGGAGAAAAACTATTAACCAGTGTATCATAAGTGTTTATGTTCTTGTAAATAAGACAAGGCAAAACAACTTTGCCAGTGACTGATGCAAAAGGATTGTTGCGCATCTAATGATAATAGTTGGTAGATATATTTCATAAGTCTATCCTATCCTATTTCTACATCAGTGTGATATTTAAAATAGCAATTCACATTATTTTTTCACAGAACATGCATTTTATATGCATTTTATATTATAGTACATGGGCTTGCACACAGTTTACCCTAAACTAAGCATTTTATACATAGATTTAAAAAGCATGTTTATATTATTTCTGGAATTATTTCATTGCATCGCATCCAAGGTATCCCTTAAAAATGGCTTTTTGTGTTTGCAAAGGAGACTCAGATTCATAAGAGTCTCCATTGGAGGAAGTAGGGGCAAGCAAACCCACAACACAATCCTCAGACATAAGATGCAAGCAAAAGGAAGAATAAGTGAAAATCATGTCTTCCCCACTTTCCTCCAGCAAGGAAGTAGATTCCTGGATTCACACCATAATATTAGGAGGGTAGGTACTCGGAGGAGGGCTTTCTCTGCGGTGGCGCCCAATCTATGGAATGCGCTCCCCAGAGAGGTCCGCCCGGCGCCGTCGTTACTTGTTTTTCGGCGCCAGGTGAAGACCTTTTTATTTAAACGTCACTTTAATTGTTAACAATATTTGCTTATTTATCTGGCCAGGGCGACTTCTTTTATATTTTATATTTTTATTTATTTTATATTGTTAATTTTAATTTTATATTGCTGTTTTTGTATTTTATTGTATTTTATTGTGTTTGTAAGCCGCCCCGAGGCTTCGGCAAGGGGCGGCATAGAAATGTTCTAATAATAATAATAGTAATATTTAGAAGGCAGCTTCTTCAGCATAACTTGTATTTCAGGTTTTTGTGGTTGCCTTCTGCTAGATACTGATATTGATAACCAGACCAGAAGCAGTGTGCCTCTCAGTGCCACTTGCTAGACAACGTGAACAGGAGGATTCTTTGGTCTAACCTAGCAAAAATCATATTTCCAAATGATCTTTTTGATTTGGTCTTTAATGAACTTTTAAGGTGGCTAATGTCATTTTACAGCTGGATGGCTATGGTTTTAATTGTGTATGTGTTAATCAGTTATTTAGGTGTATTTGTGTTCAGAGATGTTTGTGTACAGAATTATTTTTTTTAATGAACACTGCTATGATTTGCTTTAGTTGCTTATCTTTCATTCACGAGATTAAAATGTAGTTGTCTGCATTTTAGTTGAGTAGAATAACAGAAGAAAAACAAACCCTTTTTCTGTTTTTCAATTAGTCAAGGATCTTATCCAAATGGGCCTTTGAACTCAAACCTGTTGACAATACCAAAACAAAGATCATCTTCAATGACCCTAGCTCATAATATAGGATCCAGACGAGCTGGTAGGATAAGAGTGAATTATTTCTTTATAACTGGGCTGTAGAAGTGCCTCTCTAATGATATGATTTTCTTAATTACCATGTACACTACACAAAATGTTTCACTTTGTTAAGATGTAATACATATGTCTAAAGTAAATTATGTGCTGTTTATTATAATATATTTTGCAAAGCATCAAAATATACTGTGTATTATCATTCTTCCTAATCCTAATTACACGATGAGTGCTATTGCTTACATAGCCAAAACAGCACTACCTCTATGCAAAAGGAGATACTAGAAGGTTTTCAGAAATACAAAAAACTAGGGAAAATGGTGGGGGGACCCAAAAACCACCTAAAGGGTACTGTCTTGAGCAGCCATAGAATACTGATTCTCTGTAGAGGAACAGAAATAGATGAGCAGGGTGATTAAATGGAATAAAATGACTGAAAACCTTAACATGGAGTAGTTCAGAGTGCAACATTTTCTTGCAGTCCTGCTTGTGTACATGCTAATAATAATCTCCACGAAGTGGCTTGCATGTGACAATAATTCATGAATTGTTTATGTATTGCTAGAGTACAGCAGAAGTGAGTGAGCAGCCTGCCTCCTGAATCCTCCTGAATTCCATTTTATATCCAGCCTTGTAAACAACCTAGAAATGCCCTTTCTTGGATTGTTGATATACTGTGTTAGCCTGATACACTTGATTGTTGAAGATTAAACAGCCCAGAGTTTTAAACTCAGTGACAAACTATGGGTGATTGCTGGGTTAATGCTCTGGGTTGTTTAACATAAAACAACCTAGAGAGGCAGGTTCACAAATCATTACAATAACCCAAGAGCAAAGTCAGATGCAAAGCAAAAGTTGTGAGTATATAGGAGGTAGTTCCTGTTCACTTTGACAAGGCCAGTCCATGGCTAACTATGAGTTATTCAACTCATGCAAACTTATGGAGTGAAGCAGCACTACCAACAAAGAGGGAGTCTTCAGCATGCCCAGTGAAACTTTCATGGATTGCAGAAGTGCAAAATAACAGTATGTGGGTGGGGAGGAATGAAGGGCAAACACCCCAGAGCAACCGATGAGGACTGGAGATTCCTGATTGGTAGTACATGCTAATTATATTTTCATATGGTGGGGAAGAATAAATCTGCATAGGCAAGTGGAGTGGAAAAAGGTATGGCTGATTGGCTGGAAAACTGAATAGGAGCATTCCATGTTGCAATATTTTGTTGCAAGTCCAAATTATATAATATTTTGCATATTGCAGATAATGGCAGTCATCCAGAGAAGTGTATGATTAACTGCAGAGCAATATGCTGAAAAAGCTTGTGTATACCTAAATGATCTGAATTTTGGACAAAGTGGGTAGGATTTAAACTGTTTTTAGTTCTTCACAACCAATTTGTTGGCAAGCCAATAACTACACTGGATATACATAAATTGATACAATAGTCATGATATCTCCCATCCAAAACATGAGAACTAGCCTGAGCTAGTACTCTCTAGTAGAGCTTTCAGTATGCATGGCAAATGATAGTTCCAGGAGTCTTTGAAGGTAGTTATGACTATTTTACATATTGATTGGCATAAGAGTGACAGTATTTATGCAACCACTGGTTAAATTAGGTTTTGGAAGGTTGATGAGGTATGAAACCTCTATGTTGTATGCTACCCTCATTTCAATACATAACCAGAGAAAGCTTACAGCTTCCTCTTAAAAAGTAAATTTTTCAGTTCTTATGGTCCAAAGAAAAGTTTGGATATGTGGCTAGCACTTGCTAAAATATCCAGAGGATTTATGTTAGTATCCAAGCTATCACCTCCTGATCTGCCTAATAGCTAATTAGTAGCATGCTAATGTTGTCAGAAGGCCATTGCTGTGTTGTTCTTCAGTGGTTGGGGAGGGGAGGGACAAGGAAGCTTAAAATAGTGGGTTATAATAAATTCTTAAGTATAAGGAGGTGCTGACACTGCAGCCCTAGCCAGCAGTGGAGTGGGAGGAAACTCTTGCTAATACTGGACATGCTATTCTATTTCAAGAAACTGCCATTAGATGCAACAAGCAGGGCAAAATGTTGCCGCATAGAGTACTTCTTACAGGATTCCAGCCTCCATTATATTCCCCCTTGTCATGCCCCCAATTTTTCTTTTCGCTCCTTCAACAATCAGTCAATGCTCCCTGCCTGCTGAATGTGCTCATTTCCAATTGTCTGGGGGACTGAGGACAAGTAGAATGGACACACTGCTGCTCAAGGGTTTTCCATTGATTTCTATAGGCAGCTCTTAACTTCCTTCCCTGAAAACATTTAAAAATAGTTTCCCAATATGAATCAGGAAAGGACCTATTCAGGGATGGTTCTTTCTGCTCTTACTTCATTTACGTGTGCTTTCATATATTCCCTTTTATTTCCTTTCTCAACTGGTTTTTTTGTTTCCCCCTCCCTATGGTCAGTCACCATTCCATGGGCACTGAGCACTCTTATTCAAGCTGTTACCTCCCCCTTAGGTTCCCCTTCCTCAAGATTATTTGTACTCTGACAAACCTGAGAGTCACCCTGAATCTACGGATTGACCCAGGGTGGTATAGTTTTGGCTACATAAATGGAAGCAGTCAAAGGCTTGCATTGATATTAACATATGGGTAATGCTTTAAGTGTTGTAAACCTTCTTCGAGTTTCAGAACATTTTCAGGCTCCACCTTAAAAGGAGACCACGACAACACCACTTTGTTCAGCCATCTAACATGATGTCCATATTCTGTATGTGCATGCACACAGAAGGGCATATTAGCATACAGATTAACTTATGAATCTGATACGAAGTAGGTGCTCATTTAATTAATAAGACAGAAAAGTTTGCAATATCTGTGGAGCTCTTACACATTTTTCTTTTTATAATTGTTTTATTTAAGATACCATGGATTTGTTTGTCTGGCATCTTAGAGTAAAGCAACCTAAGAAGAAGCTCACTATCTAATGAAAGATAGGCTATAGAAAAGCAGAAAGGATCAGAGCAGAGTATGTTGAGCAGCTTACTCAGATCTCCAGTCCTACCTTATGATGCACATGCATAGATTCTAGACATTGGAATAGATATGATCACTTGTATGCATATCCTTAGGTTCATATTCACTCATGTACACATTAGATTTTAGGATATATTTATGAATTTCTTGTATTAGACTGGGTGCTTTTCATGTGTTACGCTTCTAACATTTTATTTCTTTGACTCCTTGCCCATACTTTAGGTATTTCCCAGAATCTCAGTTCTGTGACTTCACCTAGTAATGGATTTCTATCTAGTGGGTGCCACCGATTACCTGTAGAATTTCCTGATACTGCTGATTCCCTCACTAAGCCAAATGTTAATATGCATAAATCTCTGGGATGCACATTTAGTTCTTCAGATGTCCAGCAACAATTGAGAACAATTTCACATTATACATGTAGTAGGTAATGTTCTCTTTTGTTTAATCAGTTTGTTGCCATTTATTCTCCTAGATAATTCTGGAGTAGAAAGTTGCAAAGGGCTGGCCCCTCCTACTTGTTCCCAAACTACAATTTCTATCTTTATTTCTTAACAATTTCTCATATTCCTTTTGGAATATTTGTTGCAAACAGTTGAGTGCTTCTCCTCATACTTTAATAAGATTTTTGCCTTAATAGAGCTGTGTATTCGTAGCAGACTGTAGTAACAGAAAACATTTCATGAATATCCTTATAGGCAATTTTCCTCCTTTATATTCATCTTCTTCTGTGTACTTTCTGGAAACACTTGGAAAATGTATTATATAAAGGTCCTCTAAGCCTTCTGCTTAGGTGCAACTAAAATTGAATGAACTTAGATTCTGAATAGATGTTTCAGTACTGATACTCTACAAGTGCTTAACTTTTGTTTATGTATACATTCTTAAGGAAAACTATATAATATTCAGAACATGAGAAATGACTATTGTATCTTGTTTTATTTTCCTAAGTTGTGGACGACAGATATTCAAATCTGTTGCAGCTTCATTATCGGAATCTATAGCAGAATATCAAAGCCAAAAATCAGGTGGGATTATGAACACATGTGCATTTGATACTCTATGTTAGAATTAACCGATTTCTTTTAGAAGATACATTGATGTTGCTCAACAATGTTGCTCTAGATAAGTTGAAATCAGTGCAATTGCTCTTCAGTGTGTTGAATTCAGAGTTCCATAGAGCAGAACTCCATGAACTTGTATGATTGGGTTAACGGGGTAATTTGCACAGATGCCTCCTATCCGAACATCCTCTTAAACTCCCCAAGATCTCTTCTGGATGGTTGGGGGTGCTGGGGTTATGAGGGATTGCTGAAAATTCCTTCTCCATCCTCTTTATCCATTGGTGAAATTCTTCTAGATTCAGACCACTGAGATGTGTATGCAAATATTCTAATCAATTTCTCCATAGATTTTAGAATAGTATAGAGCATGCCAAACTCTTGCTGTTTCCTCTTCTCTTTTGAACTTTACACGTTTCTGAGAGTTATTGAAGAGGTTGTCCTTAACCATTTTTACTAGTAAGAATAATTTTCAGTTTGTATATTAATTGAAAATATTAATAAACTTAAGACCAAACAGGCTGGCAGATAATCACATGACACTAAGTCACAGGTACAGGTAATCCTTATAAGAAGTTCATGAGAATTAACATGTTACAGAGGTTGCTTCCTAAGAGAAATCTCTTTTTCCTCAGTTGCTCCTCTATAGCAATATGTCCAGAAGTAGTTGGTGAGAGCAAAACAGTGCAGTACAAATCAATACAAGTCAATAAAATGAGGCAGGTCAATTCCAATTTCTCAACTGTGATGTGGTGGGATTTTTATATATGAAGCATTCAATCATGTAAGCTATTTTCATTCCCATGAGGTACAGTCAAGAAACAAAGTTAACTTCTTCCTTTGCTCTTTCTCAGAATAAGTTGCAACCATAGTATTTCCAGGCTCCTCATAGAGATTAATAGACATTAGTATAAAATGGAAGCAAAAATCTCTCAATTTCTCCCAGCTAATCCAAATGAGGAAGAGCAGGGGGAGGCACATAAGCCATGCTTGCTGTATAACAATATAGCATTTTTTAAAAAACAACCAAACAGGATGACTTTTCTGACCATTATGTTTATCTTCCAAGCATTTGTTTTCTCTTTCAGCAGTTCTGAGGTGCTATTTCCCACTTACAGTTTAAAGAGTGCAGGTTCTTATATGTTATAGGTAATACTGTCTGGTCTTGGAGCAATGTTTAATATCTGTAATATCTTAACAATTTCCTTGTGCTACCATGGAAACAGCTTCTTTTTAAATAAAAGGTGAGACTCCCTCATTTTGCCAATAGTTATCTGGGTTGTACAGGAAAGAAAATTCCAGAACAATTGACAGATAGCCAAATAAACAGACAATTTAATCACTGATTCTAAATGAAGTGGACCCAAGTCCCATAACTCAGTGGAAGAGTAAATATCAGATTCTAGTATTTTTTTTATAAAACTATGTAACAGAATGCAGGTTGCCATAACTTTTTGTTATTAAATGAATTTTCTTTAATTAAACTGTTAGTATTGTTTGAACTTTTGAAGGTGAAGTTGGAAACAGTGATCTTTCAAAAGATTCTACCCATTTTACGGAGAAGCGTAAGGATGAAACTGGACAGGCAGAAAATCACGATCATCGAATGGATCAACCAGAGAACAATCAGCATGATGTAAGGATATTATAGTAATGCTTGTAATAGTGTGATCCATGTCTTTAATTTAATTTATGTGAAATAAGACCAAAAAGATATTGATGCAGACCTGTCATTCTGTCAGTAGAAGAATGCTGCTTATGGAATGGAACTTTCTTGATTTCCCTTTCCCTTGTAACTCTGTGTTGCCCTAAAGTGATGGTTCTATAAACAACTCAGAGTTTGGACACTCAGAATGATAGTGCAGTTTCAAATACCACAAAGCGGGAACCAAATTCACTATCTTTATGGGAGGTAGAAGGCTGTTCTGAGCCAGAGGACCTGAGTTATTGTTTAAAACCATACTAAAAACCCTACAGTAATTATAGAAGGATAACTAATTAAATATGCTGTTCAGGTTTCAGATGGCAAATGGTTCCATTCATCTATGTAACTAGATGGTTATCTAGCCTGACCCTGATTAGTAGTGTCTAACTATAAACAAATATGATTATAATAAATATTTAAAAGTATTTTAATATAAATGTATTTGCTAAATGCCCATCACAAATTACTATTCTTTCTGTTTATTATACTTTCCTGTATACAGATGGAAAAAGATCTTTCATTTGAACTGATGGAAGTAGAAGACCATGATACATTAATGGAGAAAATGAATAATTGGAATTTTCAAATATTTGATCTTGTTCAAAACATGGGGAATAAGTCTAGAAGAATCCTTAGTCAGGTTTGTTGCTACTGGAAATGTTATATTTTCTGTCTTGGTGGTTATTATTACATTTGAACACCTCCTGAGCTATAAACAGTTATACCATACAGTTATGCTGTTTTTGCAAACAATGCATCTACATATCTTTATTGTAGGAAATTTTAAGTCAGAGTAAGGTCAAAAACATCATAAAAAGGAGGGGGCAACTTTTCCTTTACTGCTGATGTTTCTCCAGGTTGGTCTGAAGAAAGCATCCCACAATGGGTTAACTCCCTACAACCTAGGATATACAGAAATCACGTGTCTAAATTTTCAGTAGTCCGTTGGTCGCAGGTTCCTCTTTGCCATTTTGTACTTACTTTTTGCCCAGGCCAGAGCTATCCTTTGTGTCTTTTTACTCAAAACCGTGGCAATCTTCAAACTTCCATCTTTCTTACCACCTAAACACTTACTTGCTTCAATATTTCCTTTACCTTAAAAACACAGCATTTTTTTTTAGTGTGCTCTGTTTTCTCTCCCTTCATCTTTGTTGCCCTTCCAACAAAAAGGCAATCTTCTTAGGTGGCAAGAAAGCTAAACAAGCACATATCTCCAGATCACTGAAAGGCAAAAGTGACAATGACAGTAGGAACACAATTTTGCAGACTGGGCCTGAGAGAAGCAAGCATGAGAGCACCAGCTTGGTGAATCTTGCCAATGATCAAAGGAGTGTCCTGATGGTCAGGGAAAAAGACCATCCTTCCATCTCCTGAGATGGTGCAAGTTCTTCCCTTAGCCTGGATTCAGGCTCAGAGGAGCAATCAGTGCAACACTGAGCAGTTGCTGAAACCACCAGGAAGGCACGATTGAGGGAGATTTCCCTCCCTCCTTGCCAGGTAACTTCCTGGCAGGTGAAGTTGAATTAAGTTTCCTGCCATTTTGGATAGCAGTTATAATCCACCACCAAAATAAAACCTCCCTCCCCTCCTTCTACTTCCAGGTAAGGAAATAAACTCCCCTTCCACAGTTAATGGCATTTCTCAATTAAATGAATCAGTACTCTCTTGGCTTCCAAAAGCTGTGCTGGATAATTTAATTACTTTGTTAGTCAAACTTTAAGGACAGGACAACAATGATGTCTTACCAGAACTCATATCTCTGAGTCTTTTCCCCGCATCCTATTCCAAACACTGGATTTTTTTTTTAAAGGATAAAATCTACATTCACAGCAACCTAGTACTATTGTCAGTTAATGTTTCTTTGCAACTCAAGGGAAGACTCAGCAAAACCATTCTCCATAGCCACAGGTCAAAATAGTAAAACATTATTTTTACAGAGCATCATCATTTCTCAGGAATTTGATTCATATGGAGAGAAGGGCTGATAGTCAGAAATGGTTAAGGAGAATTCATGTGAGGGATTCTTTAATGCCTTTGCTGTCCAAAGCAATTGTCTCCATAGCCATAAAACCTGCAAGACCAGAGGGGGAAAATATCCAAAAGTGTGATAATTCTCCCAGCAACCAAGCCCACAGCCAGAGAGGTACTTCTTCCTAAGCCTATCAAAAAATAATAAAGGAATAAAGTGGACATTTCCCCTTCAAGGTAAGAAGGCTGCTAATTTCATTCATTCATTCAGTCAAATTCTATGCCACCCCATAACCTGAGGGTTCTCTGGGCTGTTTAAAATGTGGAAATGAGCATCTAAATACAATTAATAAACAGATAAAAAAGTAAATGATTAAAACATCTCACATAGTAGAAATTATATAAAACCATGCACAACATGACCAAATGCAGTCAAAATTAATAACACAATACATTTTAATTGACCAAAACCTTGTTTGAACAAAAAGGTTTTTACCTGGGTTCTAAAAGAAAGCAAAGTCAATGCCAGCCATATGTCCCTAGGGAATAAATTCCAGAGTCTAGGCACCACTGCAGAAAATGCCCCCCTCCTAGGCCTTTCCTCCTTCATCTCACTAGGTGGGTGATATTCAGAGGAAGACTTCAGAGGAAGATCTAAATGATGGGTAAGAATATATGGAGAGAGGCTTAGGAAGCCATTTAGGACTTTATATGTCAAAGACAACATGTCCAGACTAGAACAGGAAGCCAATGCAGCTGTCAGAGGACTGGCGTGATATGTTTTTGCCTGTCGTTCCTTATAGGCAATCATACTGCCCTGTTCTTTATTAGTTGTAGAGTCCGGAGCATTTTCAAAGCTAGCCCCATGTAGAGTGCATTACACTAATCCAGACGAGAGATTACCAGCATGTGGATCACGTGGCAAGGCTCCACTAATCCAAGTAGGAACATAGCTGAAAGAATAGCCAAAGCTGAAGAAAGGCACTCCTGGCTACTGAGTCCACCTGGGAGACGGAGAGCTTGGGGTCCAGGGGCACCTCTAAGCTTTGAACCTTATCCTTTTGGGGAAGTGCAACCCTATCCAAGCTAGGTTGAAAATGTCCCAGTTCGAGTGTGTGGGGGGTGCCCACTAGAGTGCCTCTGTCTTGTCTGGATTCAGCTTCAATTTGTTGGCCTTCATCCAGCCCATTACTGAGTTCAGGCACTGGACCAGGACACCCACTGCATCTGCATCAGATGAAAAGATGAGGTAGAGCTGGGTGTCATCAGCATACTGGTAACACCTCAGCCCACACATCTGGATGACCTCACCTAGTGTTTTCATGTAGATGTCAAAAAGCACTGGGGACAAAATTGAACCCTGTGGAATATTGCTCAAAAACTTAATACATATATACATGATATTATGGAGGAATTTACAACACCTCTGATACATGCTCCAGGAGTAGGGGAAGGATGGTCCACTCAAAGATTTGGGAGAAGGAAAGTCTTAGGATGCATTAAAGAAAGCCCATAAAGCGTCAGCATTAGCAGTAATCAGTCATTTCCTCCTGCTGTGCCAGAGCTTCCATTCTGTGGGTGGAAGACATAATAAATAATAAAGAACTAAATCAGACTTCCTTATATAAGAAGGGTAAAGCTCTCTCAGTCCTTTGCCCTTAGCTGATGCTGCAGAAGATACCCTTCAGTTTATTGCCTGTTTTATGGCCGCTGCTACAGTAGTTTGGCACTCCATCTGGCTGCTTCCACAGCAAACTTAGGAACACATCTGATATAGGAAAATATTTAAAAGGAGTCCTTATAGAAACCAGAGACAAAAAACAGATTATGCCTTCCTCATCCAGAAGAAAGACAGCCCCCATCTTCATTAGAACTTACTCTTCCTTTCATCTTTTCAGGAATCCTAACCAATTGTTTTTTCAGTCCAAAAATTATAGGTTCCCAGATTGTACTTCCATTTCAAGGATGCCATCCCCTCCAACTACTTTGCCAGACCAACTTCTTCTTTCCAGTCTTTCAAACAAGCATGGCAACAATTTGGGGGTGAGGAATCCATCCACTGGAGTAAGACTCCAGCATGGGAACAATCTATGGGATTGCTGGGTCCTGACAATGGCTAGCACATGGAATTCTGGAAGGAGCTCTCTTGCAGTTTTATTCCTTTACTAACATCATTATCTGCCATCAAGGGACTCTTCATAACCAAGCCATTCAGCACTTACTAGAACTAGGACCCTTAGAATCAGAACCACCACAAGAAAAATTCAAAAGTATCTACTTCATCTTCCTTGTTGTGCCCAAATTTGATGAAAAATAGAGGTCTGTACTAGAACTCAAACACCTCAACAAGTTTAAGGTGAACATTTGAGCAGAACATTTCATAGGCAGACACAGCAGATCACTGAAGCCCTTCACAAAGGAGAATTCCTGATGCCAGTCAACCTGATGGGGACCTATCTCTGCATCCCAATTGCACCACATCACAAATGGTTTCTTAGTTTTACATATCAAAGCAGCATGGCCAATGCAAAGCAGTGACATTTGGCCTAAGCTCAGTTCCCCTGTTTTTATTGAGATCTTGGTGTACCTTGCAACTCATCTTTGGATGAGTGGAACCAATGCAGTACTCGTAAGTTTAGTCATAAGGTATCTTCTTTTTCTGGGCAATAGAAAGTGATAACTCATTGTGGGAGGCTGTTCCTACATCAACCAAGAAGCAACTTTTTCAATTAGTACCAGTGTTCCATTCCATTTTCCACTGGGTCCTTTCTGCATTCTATCCACAATAACTGTTGGCTCCAAGAAGTGTGTATGCATGATTTTGCAGTAATCTTCCTTCACAGTTTTATAGAACAGGACTGAGCTGCATAAAAAACCTAACAAAGTTTATGGTGCAGTCCTGTGCATGTTTAGACAGGAAAAAAGTCTTACAGCTCCCAGCATTCCTAGCCAGTATTTCACATGGCTAGCTGGGAAATCCTGGGAGTTGCAGGAATGTTTAACATCTAAACATGCATAGGATTACATTGTTTGAGAGTACTTTGTTAAGAGGGTCCTCTGGGCGAGCATCCATATTGGATCACACTGTTAAAGATATATCTTTACTATTAGGGCATTCTTTTTTATAGATTTTTGAGAAGGAAGAATGTGGAAATGTGCTTTATGCTGTTCAAAATCCCCTTGTAATAAAACTGAGTTATGAATTGTACAGTAGGACAGTATAAATGTACATATTGCATATATTTAGAATGCAGTTAGACAAAAACATTCATGAAACTAATGTGTAATATAAAGAGGTATATATGCTTTTTAAATGTGGAGCCAATAAATAAAATAAAGATACGTGGATTTTGCACAAAATTCTCTTTAAGAGCAAAAAAGTTAAGAGTTTTAAAAATTAATGAAGCTCTTTGGTTGCAAAACCTCCTTAACAGTGAGTTAGTGTTAAAAATAAATTTGATTTTTATGGAAGAAATTAATTGTACACTCTGTTCATGGATGATGGCCTCAGAGAGACCCAACAGCTTATGTTGCTCAAAGGTTTTCTTTTGCTTCAGGAGCAGCTTTTGGAGGATGGATGGAATTGCTGTGAGGAAGAGGGGGCAAGAAAGTTTGTTGTGCTAGTTTACTTTGCGTTCAACCAGATATTAATGAAATGAAATGTAATGTAAGACCTGAAAATGTAGAATGTAAATCATGATGCTTTAATGTTACTGAAAATGAAAATAATTATATTATGTATTTAGGTGGCATTCACTTTGTTTCAAGACACTGGCTTGTTTGAAATTTTCAAAATTCCAGTTTGGCAATTCATGAGCTACTTTCAGGCACTAGAAAATGGTTATCGAGACATTCCTTGTAAGTAATATCTCACAACATTAGGCTTATTTGGTCCCCTGAGCCATTGTTTATCATTTTATCCATATTACATTTACAAAGAACTATTAGTACAATTTAGTGTAATGATAGTGTGACTGTATGCCTTTTATTAATCTTTTTCTTAGATGTTACAGAATGACAATAAGTAGTTTTTAAAAGCTAATCAGAGTTTTTGTTATTGTGGTTTGTATTAGGCCTTGCTAGCCAGGCAAATACATTGAAAAAATGCATTGAGATACAGTAGTAATTGAAGATATTTTTCTAATTTTAATTCTTCTGGGAACCACAGATTCAAAATGGGTTTATAGTCATTTTCCTATTCAGCTAGATACAGTTTTATTGACAGATACAGTTATAGAAAACTTCTGAGAGAACTGAACTACAGTCCTAAGGGTTCTGATGTGTCTTAATTCTTTCATTTCAAATGTTGCAACATAACCCATCAGCTTCCTTTTCTTTCCCACTGCTCTGATATGGCCTTTTTGATCCAGTCTGTCTGTATAGAATACTTGAAGCATATTTTATGAAGTGACTTTTATGCAGTAGTTAGTATACCTGAACCTGAACATTTCCAGGTATTAGGGCTAAACCAATTAAGATTATACTATCTTTAGCACTATATGTTCTTTTGTTTCTCCTTTCCACTTGTTACAGGTATTAGACTTGATTTCATCCTGTGAATATAGGATCATCTGCCCATCCTGTGGGCACAAAGCCCAGGGAAAAGAGAGGGACAAATTAGAGTAGAGAACAGGATCCTTGTTAGGGACCACTAAGAAAAGGATTGGGGAAAAGTGACTAATAATGCCTTAATATAGATCTGTGGTGCAGCTACATTTGTAATACAGTGTTTGGTTCTGCTCACCCCTGTCTCAGAAAGGATATGGTAGAGTTTAGAAAGTTCAGAACAGGGCAACCCAAATGACTTTAGGTTTAAGCACCTTCCTACAAGAGAATACACTTTCTTTTGGGATTCTCTTCTGTATCTTCTGGAGGGCTTTTCAATCCATTCAAGTTAGACCTTCCCACTGGTCGAAAGGCGGGGTCCAGTCTAAACAGTACTCTCCAGGGACTACCATGCTTTAGTTCTGACAACTAAAGTTCTCACTAAGTTCTGACAACTCAGCCTCAATTGAGTTCATTCATTTTTCAGTTTACTTTTAGATTTTTCCTCTTCTACTTTCCCCATTCCTCTCCTTCCCTGACTTTTTCAGGTAGGAGCTGGGATTGGACTTCACTAGAAGGAGTGGGCTTGAGTGCTACAGTGATTTTTTGTGATGAAAGCCAACTTCTCACCCACCTGCAAGAGGAGACTTGTACCAGTGTACAGTGTACACTATCTGAGGCTGCCACCAGAGTGAGCACTGGGAGCCCTGCCACCCTACCCAAGCAGGTAGGCTCCAAGCCCAGATAGGCACCATGTTCTCCCTACCTGGGATAAAGCTAGAGTGCTTCACCTCCTCCAACAAGAATAGTGGTGGGATGCTTGGAGCCTGCCCTTGTTCTCTATTGCTGAGTAGTAGCTGGACTTTAGGGCCTTCTTTATACTTTGAGCTTTCTCTGCCTCACCCTTGGTCTCCCTCTTGTGCGTGGGACTTGGAGCCTTGCCCATGCTCTTGTTTTCCGAGTTGTAGCTAGCCTTTGAACATGTCCTTCATTTTGGCATGAAAAGAGACTGGACTGTGTCTCCCATGTCCATGCTCTCCCTAGCTGGAAGAAAGCGAGACAATTGGACCCAGACCATTTCTTAACGAGATGATCAGCCTTCTTCATCCTTAGCTCTATACCTCTCTGGTCTTATGATCCACAGTCTCATGATCTCTTCCTAGCCTAAACTCTTCATCATTCTGTCTCCTTATCCACATCTGGTCTACAGTTCAGTGTCCTTCCTTCCTTCCTTCCTTCCTTCCTTCCTTCCTTCCTTCCTTCCTTAAAAACATTTGTATGCTAATTATGCCACAGCACATTTCAAACCTTGGTCCCTGTATATAATCTTCCCAGTCAATCTTGCCTTTCATTTCCCTCACAGAAGTTATACCTTTTGTCAACATGCTATGACCAGCCTTTTGTCACAGCAATAGGACAGTTCATAAACATGCTTAGAACAGCTCAGCTAGTAGTTTACAACAGATAGGTTGTAAATAAAGAACTAGAAATTAAGAAGTTAATATTTAAATTTAATAAAAATTACAATTTTAGATCACAATCGGATACATGCAACAGATGTTCTTCATGCTGTGTGGTATCTGACAACACGACCAATTCCTGGATTTCAGCAAATGCACAGTGATTCTGTGACAGGAACTAGCATTGGTATGTGATTTGGTTTTGTTTTCCTTGATGACATTTTGCCCAATAAGATCAAACAGATATGTTTGAAATAACTGAAAAAAGATCTTGAAGTTTTTTTTTCTTACTTGAGGTTTCATAGTTGATAGATAAAAGTAAGAGTTGATGTCATTTGCAAGCAGTGTGTGTCTGGTTTTAGGATAATTGATTGAATAATTGCTGACATACTTTGCTTCCTAGCCAAGGAAACTGTTTTACTTAGATCTTTTCTCCTGAATGAGACCTATAGTTTTCTGCAGTGGTCAGCATGTTTCTAGCAACTAAAATACATTAGACTAATATTTCTTTATTTAATTAGGAAATGAAATATCTCAGACTAAAAATACCTTAGGTTAAACTATTTAACTTAATTGGAGTTTTTCTTAATTATTCCAAAGTAAAAATGAAATAGTCTTGAATATTGAACATCTTATTTTAATTAATATATACCCATCTTAAAATGTTCTGTTAGCTTTAGCAGAGGACAATAAGTAGTGAAATCATTTAACGGTATAAAAATAGCATTGTGATAATAAGACAGGTCTTTAATTTTGATTATATGTTCTTTATATAGTGATAACATCAAATGTAATTGGTATTATGAATATATAACCTGTTTTTCTGTTTAAAGATGAAAGAAGAGCTCAGTATAGTAGGTAAATAAGCAATACAAAATAGGCTATTAAAAGATAAACCTGTGGTTAAAATACAGTAAGAGATCAGGAATGTCATAAATATTGGAGTAAATGGCTTATTAATTGGAGAGGCTATTTGATACAATGGTTGAGGTGCTGGACTGGGGACTGGAGATCCAGCTTCTATACCCCACTCAACCATGAAGCTCATTGGGTGACTTTGGTCCAGTCACTGCCTCTCAGCCTAATCTACCTCACTGGGCTTTCGTTGTGAGGACAAGATTGGGAGAAGTAGGACTATGTAAGCCACTTTGGATTCCCTGCAGGAGGGAAAAGATATAAATGTAGTATTGCAAGAAAGCTGGCTGTCTTTGTACAGACTTATGAACAGAGAGAAATTTATTTTTGTTGAACTTCTTAAAAACAATGACAACACTCCCCTACAAATACCACTTCATTTCCTGAGATGAATACTTATCCTGGGGTGAACACTTGAAATATACATATTAAGATAGGTAATGGTGACTGGTATGTGGGATTTGGGCACCAGACACATGCTGCCTTTAATAAGGCAGTTCCACAGGGACTAGGGATGAGAGACTGTGGCTGAGCAACCACCACTTCTGTTAGCTTTATCAACCAGGGCAACAGGTGGGGTGGAGGATTGGTTCCTTTTTTTCTTTCCCAGCCAGTTCTTTAAAAAAAATCCTCCCACTACCCCAGGACAGATGTACTTATTCATTTGGGGTGTGGTCAGAGGGCAACAAGTAGGTTTTGGATCCACCAGATCAAATACTTCCCTATATCTTCTCCCAACGTGCTCCTGTTTTTCCTCTCTGGACAATGGAACAGTGTCTGAAGCAGTGTAGTTTTCCACTGATAAAAGTGTCCTCAAATGGAATTCTGCTCAGAAACCTCCCATTGGCAGAAAGGGAGAAAGTTCTGCCTCTCCTGCTGATCCAGAGAGTCCCCCAGCCAGATTTTGAAAACAGAGAGGACTGCAGGGAAATGCTTCCATCTGTGGGAGAATTTTGCCATTGAAACCTGAGTTTTGCTTCAAATGCTTATAAAGCTGCTACCCCTCAGTGTTCTTAATGCCATTTTTAAATTTTATTTTTTTCTAGATCTGGATAATGATATTTCAACTGGCCAAGTTGTTTATACTTCCTCCAAGAGCTGTACAATTGTTGATGAGAGTTATGGATGCTTAGCCTCAAATATTCCAGCCTTAGAATTAATGGCTTTGTATGTAGCAGCAGCTATGCATGACTATGATCATCCTGGTCGTACAAATGCATTTCTGGTAGCTACAAATGCTCCTCAGGTAGGATGTCTTTCTTTTGGAAAGTTTACAGTTATGCTGATCATATCAAAACCCATACATTAATAGTCTATTTGTATGCTGTTTTTAAAATTGCCATATTTGCCAGCAGTATTACGTTTGCTACATTTATTTTTTATACTGTCGGACTTCACATCATTGTCACAGAATGAGACTTTGTGTATTTTTGGTAACAATTTATTGGTTGGTACAGTCAACCTGACTGAGAAACAGTAAGTCATAATCTCCAAGTAATTTTTTATTTCTTTCTTTAGGCACTAGTATTCCATTGAGCTTATGGAAACTTAAGAATTGAGTTATTAATTCTTATAATCATTCATAAGAATGAATATTCAAAACAGTTGGCAAAGTGGTTCTCTAAGTAAAGCAGAAATATCTTTGATATCTTAAATAATTTAATTCAATTTATTGAATAATTTTAGGGCACTTACACATCGTCTGAAATCAGCTGCAAATCATATATGCTCTGTGTTTGTTTTCATATCCTTTCTGTCTAGCTTTCATCTCCTTTCATGTTCCCTGTTTGATTCAAAGTAGTAGCAGCTTACCTTGACACAATGGGCATGTTTGAACATCATACAAACAACCTACAATGAACCTGACAGACAGAAGTGAAGAAGCAGTATGAACTAGCATGCTGGCTTGTTCATAACAAGCCTCAGGGTTTAAAAAATGAGCCCTGGGTGGTTGTTACTGTTACTTTTCCCATATAGTAATGTGAAACTTCATTCTTTAAAATATTTGCATTTAATTATTTTGCAGGCTGTGCTGTACAATGACAGATCAGTTCTGGAAAATCATCATGCAGCTGCTGCATGGAGCCTTTTCTTATCACTACCAAAATATAACTTTCTGTGTAATCTTGATCATGTACAATTCAAACGGTTTCGATTCTTAGTGATTGAAGCAATCCTTGCTACGGATCTCAAGAAACATTTTGATTTCCTTGCTGAATTTAATGCCAAGGTTAGTTACATAAGTTCAAGCTTGCACATAGAACTATGGATCAAATAATCCTAGAGAGCAATATACTACAAAACACATTTATTTAAATATTTTGCATTGAAATATGATATAAATATCATAGCTATTTATTATTAGTCTGCCTCCTGTAAAGGTTCATGTTGTATTAAGAATCTTCTGGTCATATAAAAATAGCAAGATAGGAAAAATGTTAGACTGAACCCATCACCTGGGACAACTTATTCTTGGAAGAAGAAGCTTTACTGGCATCAGTGCACCTGCCCCCAGTAGAAGGCTCTGTGGTTATACATGTATTGCCAGTGATACAGCCACTGGGGGAGGCCCTATCAGTTTAGGAAAGGAGCAGGGGAAACAGGCCTTGACCTACTGGAACACAAGAGAAAGAAGCGGATCAGTCCTCTTAGCTGTGACAGATTTTCAGTGATACTAAATCCTCCCCCCCCACCACCACCACCACACCAGCACGTGCTCCCAAAACAGTGCAGTGCCAAAACTACAGCCCACTACAATGAACCCACTACAAAAACCTCCATCACTTTCGGTAGTGTTAGGCAATCCACTACTTGATCCCACTACGTAGGCTCACCTTTCAAGCCATGTGCATGTGTGCAGAATGCTGCTACATTTGTGGCTGTCATATACTGCAAGGAACATGTTACATGTGTGCTGAGGATACTAAGTGGACAAAATGATGGCTGTTCCTATGTGATACTTCCTATGGAAGTATATTTTGCTGAGGAGGAGAACAGCCAGCCATTTCTATGGTTTTCTAGAATTCTCCACTGCTGGAAATTTCACAGAGGAATGTCACACTCACGGAAGTATTTGAAGAAAAAAGAAAAATGTCTACTTCTGAGTAGACATGAATAGAAGTGCCCTGCATAATATATAAATAAATTACATTATCTTCTATATGGTGAGCAACAGATGAAGGAAAAGCTTTAGTTTAACATATTATAAAAACTCTTTTTCCCTTCCAAACAGGTCAATAATGTGAATGGTCATGGTATTGAATGGAACAATGAAAGTGATCGTCTTTTAGTGTGTCAGATATGCATCAAGCTGGCAGATATCAATGGCCCAGCAAAACATAGAGATCTACACTTGAAATGGACAGAGGGCATTGTTAATGAATTTTATGAGCAGGTAGACCTGTGTTACCATTTTTTAATACCTACTTTCACATGAATGTGTGTCTTCCAGAGGTTTTAGACTAATTCCCATTAGAACTAGTTCTTTTTTTAAAAAATCATTTTTATTGGATGTTTCAAAAGAAATCCTGCCTAAGCAACAACAGAAAAAAGATTAACAAAATCAAATAAAATATGTTACAGTTTTCTTACATAAAATTCAGTATTGTCCATAACAATATATACACATATATTAATATCTGTATGTTTTATGTGTTAGTAAAGGTGATTATGCATAAATCTCCAATCCTGGAACCCAAAGGTCCATATATTTGTCCATTGTAAATTACACCCAAAGACCATCCATTCAAAACTGAAAATGTCATTAAATGCTCCCATTTTATTATTGCACATGGCTGATTATTTTTCATATGCTATAGAATTTATCTTTTCGTTGCCAAAAGGGCACAGAAAATCCATCTGTGTTGACTTTGTTTAATTCCAAGAGACTAGTATATAGTTGAGAAGGACATGTATCACTGAATATTAAAGAACTTTCCATCACCAAATTTATCTGAGTTACTAGCTCCTCCCAAAAGAAAGCAGCTATTTGGCATTGCCAAAATGTATGAATAAGATATGTGTTCGCTACATTGCTCCTCCAGCAATTGGTAAGTTTAATTAAGTACTTATCAGAAAGACATTCTGACATCAAAGTATACTCAAAAGTCTTACTTAATTAGACATAGCTTAAGATCTGTCATCCCTTCTGATATGGATTACCATGAATTACACCTGTAATTGAGCAATTCTGCTCCAATTCATGTTTCCATTATTGCCTAAGGCTCTGCAAATCATAATTGTTCACTGATATTAAATGTCTATATACATAAACTGTAGATCCCAATGTAAACAGTATATAGTGCAGTTGTCTAGAGAGGTCATGGGTTCTCCCACACTAGAGACATTCAAGGTGAAACTGGACAATCATCTGAGTGGGATGGTGTAAAATGGTAACCAATAAAAGCAGGGGGTTGGACCTAGTGACCTTCTTGGCCCCTTTTGACACTATTATTTTATGATTCTGTGACTGATTTTTCATTATCTTTTCTGATCACAATCAGAAAACAACCATTTGGATTGTATTGATAATAGTTTGTTGAACTAAAAATAAAACTTGTTTGATGCATTAAAATTGCTACTGCTTTAAATCTACTTGAAGAATCTGTTACATAAGACTTTCCTACCCAGACTCTTGTTAGTAAAGGTGTCTCTGTTGCCATCAAGTGTGTTTCCTGTAAAACAAACAAACACACCAGTGCCATATTCTGTGAGACACAGTGAAGGACAGGATATAAAAGCTTTAAATAAATAAATAATCCTTAAGTTTGATGAACACTTTCTTATGTTTATTTGGATTCTGCAGTTCCTTGGCATTCCAAGTCATGTTAAACAAAGAGTAATACTGCAAGTATTATTTGCTCTTGTACACATACAAATTGTGTCCTTTCCACAAAAGATACCTGTTTCTGGATCATTCCAAACATAACTCATGGACACAGTACATCTCATACCACCTCTACAGTATTCTGAAACAATACAGTAAAAAATCCCTCAAACTGAAAAAAATAAAGGAAATCTATCCAAAATGAAAACAAAAAACAACAATAAACCTGCAGACCTGTAAAATAATATGGAAAATAAACTTTTCACCTCCCAATAAGATAATAGTGCACTCCATCACACCCTGCCTCTACACCCACTCCAATGAAACTTACTCAAAATACTATTGCAAGTTTACCCATACCCTATGAAAAGTCATATTAATCATCAGGTTTCTTATACTGTAGGGGGTTTTTTGTTTGTTTTTGTTTTGGTATTTTTGCAGGTTATTGTACTCTGTTTTTAAATCTGTAAGCCACCCAGAGAGCCCAGTGGCCTATGGCACATGATGGTGATGATGATGATGATGATGATGATGATGATGATGATATAAATTATAACATTAATACAAGCAGTAACATTAATTAGCATTGCCTAGAGAGTCAGGAAAGGAGAAAGAAAATGAGAGAGAGAGAGAGTCAAAACATAACAGAGGAAAGAAGAAAGTGGCACCATGCCCAGTACTTTATCTATTCAAACTATGTAAACCATGGCCAAATGCCCAGAACTTTCCAATTAACTTCTGGAAAGCAGAGAGTGAAATTAAACCAAAGCTACAATAGAAGCCGGCTGATCAAAAAATGACTTCTGAGCAGGTTAGGTGACTTGAACACCCCCTCTCTCCATGAAGAACCCGTAGCATCAGAGGATCTGAACTACTTCAGTTCTTCTTGGAATTCCACAATCCATATTGCTATAAATCCGGTCTGGTTAAAAAAAGATCCACTCACAAGCTATTTATTTTTTAGCTGTGCCAAATTTATTTATTTATTTGAAACATTTCTATGCCACCCCCATCGCAACAAAGCCTCGGGGCGGCTCACAAATGTATGTCTTTGTTCAGATACTTCTTTTGTAGAATCTAGATAAAGCACGATTTTATCTAGCATATCCTGGCCACACAGAAGAGTTATTATTTAGATGGAACAGGCAGAAACTTGATAACAACAGGTTTTGCTCTCATTCCTTGAGAAGGCCTAGGTCCTTACGATAAGTACATTCAGTATCAAAATGAAAACCTTGCAATTTTAAAACTTGATGCAAAACTCTGCACAATCTGTTGGCCTTACTTCTGGAGACTGCTTGTGCAGACCCAGCACTCCCGAATTAGTTCTCCAGGATGAGGCCTCCAAAAGTGAAACACGAGCAGAGATTGTATTGTGGAACGCACACTCATGTATAATAACTCTATCTTCCAGGTTTGCAAGTCTTGTTTCCATCATCTTAAGGCAACCATCAATAGAATCTATGGATTCCTGCAGTAATTTAATTGAATGTTGGAGCTGTTCCATCTTCTTGGACTGCTGAGGCAGCTCCAATGACATATTTTTCAGCAAAGTGACAATTTCATCTTCTTCTCCCCCCTGTATCCCTGTCTTAGAGATTTTAGCAGGTGGCAAATTAGGTGGGTTGGTGGGAGTCCAAACCTATTCTTAGGTTTCAAAGCAGCCATGATCAAGCAGAACTTACACTCCCTTAATGCACTGGATTATACAGATCTTCCCAGACTTTGTACACTGGTGAAAATAAAACAAATACTTAGAACTGCTAGCAATCCAACAAAAAATAAAATGGATAAATTGATAAAAATGATAAGATAATAAAATGGTTTTAATAATGTTTTTCAAGGTGAAAAATAGGAGGTGGAAGAACATAGTCGACATATGTCGACACCTATGGTCTTCTCTATGTTCTCCTATGTGTTCTGAGTTGTGCCCAGTAAAAGTGAGTTTTGATCTTGCCAGACGCACCTAGCAAAAATCAGGGCACAAAAGGAGGAACAACACTGGATCACGAGGTGGTCTGCTAGAGGTTGTGCAGGAAAAGTTAATCCTTTAAGATTCTGCCTTCCTTGCAGACACAACTCCATGTCTACAGAAAAACTGTTCAAAAAATACAAGCTGAAAAGGTGCTGGGCACCTTGTGGAACAGCATGGGAGGTGGCACTGAGACTGCAAAGTGAAGGACAAATTAATGAAAACTGCCTGTCCCTCACTTCCTCCAGCAGCAACTTCTTTTAGATCCATGTCTCTTCTATTTGTGGAAGGGTATGTCAGGATCAAATGAACTATCCATATAAATAGGAGCTGTACAACATGTTATCCCTTATTACTTAAAAACACATTCTGAAAGGTGGAACAGTAGCATATTAAATTATGCTACTGTGTGCATGCCACTACTTTAATTCAGAGTTACTTCCTATGGAGATCATGTTAACAGATACATGTGCACATATACCTGATAATGTAGATATTACAGAGCCTGCTATGTCCACTGACACTATAAGGTGGATAAGGCTTCACATGTAGCTTCAGTCTTTGGGAAGTTCTGCCACACTGCTGCTGCTCATGTGAAGGTTAAGCCTACATGTTAGGCACTGCAGAAATCAATGTTTTATACTTCACAACTGTTTGGAAAGCATGTAGTTACAATTGAGTTTTAAAATCAAACCACTGCTCGGTAGTGCTTTGGGGAGGCTATACTAGTCTGGTAATTTTATTTCTGTTCTATACTTTATCAAAAAATGGACCATTTATTTAGTTTTATGTACCCCAGTTACAAGCTGTTCTAAGTGTTTTTATTTGTTTGTTTATTTGTTTATAAACTTTCAGGGAGATGAAGAAGCAAGTCTTGGATTACCTATCAGCCCTTTTATGGACCGACATTCTCCTCAACTTGCAAAATTACAAGAATCGTTTATTACTCACATTGTTGGTCCCCTCTGTAATTCTTATGATGCAGCTGGCTTGCTTCCAGGTCAGTGGGTTGATGAAAAAGAAGAGGACATGGAAAGTTCTGAAGATTACAATGCAGAAGAGTTTGATAGTGAAGAGGATGAAATGGAAGATTTTTGCACAAGTACGACTACTTTTGGAGCTGAAATCACAAATATAAAAGGGGTTGTATTTAGCTAGTTATATGATAGCAACCATGGCAGTTCACTACAAAAGTTCTTACACTAATGTTTTCTGAATAGTTTCCACTCCAGTTCCCAAAGTTATCATAGGCTCCCTCTATCTCCAAGGTCCTTCCTTTTATTTTATTGATTTATTTAGCGGACTTATATGCTGCCCCATTTGCCTAAGCCTCGGGGCGGCTTGCAAATAAATAAATATCATTAATACAATAAAATACAATTGGAAACATCCTGGCCAAAGTTGTTAAAATCAATAAATAAAATCAACAATTAAAATGACATTTAAATGAAAAGGTCTTGGCCTGGCACCGAAAAGCAAATAACGACGGTGTCAGGCAGACCTCTCTGGGGAGCGCATTCCATAGGTTGGGCGCCACCGCAGAGAAAGTCCTCCTCCAGGTACTCACCCTCCTAATGTCTTTCACGGAGGGCTCCTGGAGAAGGGCCTCCTCCGCTGATCTCAAGGGGCGGGAGGGCATATATGGACGTAAGCGCTCCTTCAGGTAACCAGGACCCAAGCCGTTAAGGGCTTTATAGGTGATAACCAACACCTTGAATTGGGCCCGGACTTCAATGGGGAGCCAGTGAAGCTGACAGAGGACTGGAGTTATGTGAGCACAGCGCCCAGTCCCCGTCAGCAACCTGGCAGCTCTGTTTTGCACCAATTGAAGTATCCGGACCATCTTCAAGGGCAGCCCCACGTAGAGCACGTTACAGAGGTCTAATGGGGAAGTTACCAATGTGTGAGTCACTGTTGCCAGGCAGTCGTTCTCCAGGTAGGGGCGCAGCTGGTGAATCAGCCGAAGCTGAAAGAAAGCGCTCCTCGCCACCGCTGTTACTTGAGCTTCCAGCGAAAGCTCTGGATCGAGGAGCACTCCCAAGCTGTGGACCTTGTCCTTCAGAGGGAGTGCAACCCCATTCAGGACAAGGTCAAGGTCCCCTTCCCCGAAGCCTGAGCCGCCTAGCAACAAGACCTCCGTCTTGTCTGGATTGAGCTTCAGTTTATTGGCCCTCATCCAGCCCATTACCTCGGCCAGGCACTGGTTCAGTACAGCCACTGCCTCACCTGGATTGGTTGAAAACGAGAGGTAGAACTGGGTATCATCAGCGTACTGATGATTCCACAGCCCACACCTCCTATTGACCTCTCCCAGTGGTTTCGTGTAGATGTTAAATAGCAAGGGGAACAAAATGGACCCCTGTGGAACTCCATGGCATAACTGCCATGGCGCAGAGCCATAGTCCCCCAGCACACCTTCTGGAATCGGCCATTGAGATAGGAGCGGAACCACTGCAAAGCAGTGCCTCCAACCCCCAGTCTCGCTAATCTATCCAGAAGGATACCATGATCAATGGTATCGAAAGCCGCTGAGAGGTCCAGGAGAACCAACAGGGACGCACTCCCCCTGTCCTTCTCCCTGCACAGGTCATACAGGGCGACCAAGGCAGATTCAGTTCCATACTCGGGTCTGAAGCCGGATTGAAATGGGTCCAGATAATCAGTGTCATCCAAGAGTGCTTGGAGTTGTCCTGCCACCACCTGCTCTCACACCTTGCCCAAAAACGGGACATTGGCCACCGATCTGTTATTGGTGGCCATCTCTGGATACAGGGATGCCTTCTTTAGGACTGGTCGGACTACCGCCTCCTTTAAAGAGGCAGGTACCCAGCCATCCCTCTAGGATCCAGGTCCCTATCCCATGCTTGGCATTGTTAAGTAGCCAAAATGGGCAAGGGTCCAGTAGGCAGGTGGTGGGACGTACTTGTCCAAGCACCTTGTCCACATCATCAGGCCACAATAACTGAAACTCATCCAATAAATTAGGAACAGGTGGCAACATTGGTTCCTTCCCTGAAGGCTCTGAATTACTAGTGGAGTCCAGCTCGTGACGAATCTGAGTGATTTTCTCCTTAAAATGCTTGGCAAAGTCATCACAGCGGGCCATCGAGGGCGGTACAGGGTCTTTCTTGGGGCCAGGATGAACCAGCCCTTGTACCACCCGAAAAAGCTCCGCTGGACGGCATTGTGAGGAGGCAATGGAAGCGGAGAAGAATTTCTTTTTCGCCGCCCTCACTGCCACAGCATAGGCCTGATAATGGGCTCTTAAGTGTGTTCGGTTTCACCCTCTTGCAAGCCCTGTCATTCATCACCTTTCCAAGCTCACTAGTCATTTCTCCCTTTGCTTAACCCTCTGCAATTTCGTGCTCTATACTCGAGGAAAACTAATGAAAATGTACTCATAGTCCCATTCAGGTTGATCCCATAGTATCACATCAAAGATTGTTAATTTGAAAGCCATACCATAGCCTGTTGCATGTACCAGGTAAATAGGACACACATATCTAAATACAGAAAAATAACTTCACATTTATTTCAGGCTAGATGTTAAACACTGTTTTCCCATTTTACAGAACTACAGAGAAGAAAAAACAGACAGCGCATATTTTGTCAACTAATATACCATTTAAATGAAAATCATAAAGTATGGAAGAAAATAATTGAAGAAGAAGAACTAAATAAACCAGAAGAGGAGAAACAGTCAGAAACCACATCCTTATGTCAAACAGATGAAATTCAGGTTATTGAGGAAGCAGATGAAGAAGAGGAATGTCATCAAGGAGAAGAAAAGACATCTTAAAAAACTCAGAATGGAGTGCAGAACTGCTGTTGGAAGCATTTGCTCTTTCTCATAAAGCTGAAAAGGCATATGTTCTTTCTCATAAAGCTGAATTTAGGTAGACACAGTTGTCAGAACTATGAAAGGTCTGAATATTGTGAAAGGACATTCATTTTGCTAACAGTATCCCACTTCTATGCACTTTTACCACATGGAACTAGAAAACTTTATTCAGAGATATATTGAATGCTGTATTCCATGATGCGAAGGCTTTATGCCCCCAACGTGGTGTTCAGATATCTTGTTTTGCTGCCTTGCTAAAATAGCTGCTTATTAACAAAGTGGTATTTAAAGTTTTTCTTAAAAAAAAATCAGCAGCCTCAGTTACCAAAGTCACTAGAATATTTTTGCTTACAAGAGCTATTTGGCTGAATACTTTTAATGTTTTGAAAGTTGTATTTTATTTTTAATGTGAATCTACAAATCACTGTGCCTAACTACCAGTATGAATGTTGCAGTTATTACCAGTTTGATTTGCAATAGTTTTTTTAATGATATTATCTTGGATTGATTTAACCATTTGATGACTGCAACCAGAATAGCTAAGTTCTGGATTTTGTGGTTAAAACTGAATCCCATGTGCATCAGTTTGATGCTTTTTACTGTGGTGCTTAACCTGCCATTTTATTTTTCAGAAAATGTTCAGGTTTGCAGTGAGTATCCAGGCTAGTTTGCGAATACACCTGTTGCCCTTTTCACCTTGTTCTGAAAAGGAACTTAAAAGCTATTTCACTATTTTAAAATTAAGGGATTTTATTATTTTAGTCAGTTATAAATGTGTTCACTCTTACTCAGGATTCATGTTCAGAAACATGACACAACAGATTTTATATTTACAATCTTGTGCTAATGCTAGGTGTTCATTAAAAATGACCTTCTCTTTGTATGTAAACTTAAAATTAAAAGATTGTTTTCTATTAAAAAGTGTTCTAAACTCCAATCGTCTTCACTTCACAAAGCATCCAACACACAATGAATATTCTAGGCAATATTTCTCTTGACATGAATGGGAGTATCCTTTCCAGTGCAAATTCCAAGTGTGGGGCTTCTGAAAAATCTCACAGGAAGGCAGACTGGGAGCAGGGGCAGACGGTAGTTTAAGCTCAGGATGACTATATGGCTTGTCCTGGTCTGGAGTCAATAGGTGAAGCTAGTGCCCAGCATTCCCGCCATCTACCTTGTAACCCACTAGAGCCACCCTGAGAGTAGAGTTGGAAGCTTACATGGGCAGATGCCTCTCCTGCATGTCAAAGAGAACGCTACTTTGATATTTATTGTTCAGTTTTAATACAAGAATTGTGCTTCTAAGTTTTGGTTGATTCTGCTGGAGAGAGAAGGAGGGAAGTGACCTCATAACTGGGCACCCAAGCCTAGCACCTGCTGGACCATCCCTTCCCGCCACTCAGCCGTGGTGAGCAGTCTTGCCTCTGAGCAACAGGGAATGGGCGTGAGGGCAGGTGGGAGTGGTGGCTTTCTCCTCAGCCTCCCCATGGGAAGGTCATGGAGGAACCTGCTCTTCCACCTACCCACAGAATCCCCATGTGGGCAATGGGTCTCCTCCCTGACCAGGGTGAAGTTGCATTCAGTGAGGAGTAGTCCTGAGCTGCTCAGTGTTTGAACCTTTACCACATTTTCTGTTAGATTCTGCCGCTTAGATTCTTCTGCAAGAGCAAACTTTATATTGCCAGTAATGACTGAGTAGGTTCTTTCGCTGCTCACATGATTTCCATCTGCCGTATCTTTTGGCTGGCAACAGTAATTTTGTCACCCTATCTGTGGCAAAGTTTATATTCTGTGCTGAACAGGCATATGTTAAAAATACTTCTGGGGTTAAGCAGCACTGAGGCTAGTGATAGATCAGTATATTAATCTGTTTTGCTGAGATGCTTTGGGGACATGTAGGTGCTCCAAATATTTGAACAGGAAGAGGGGTGAGTTGCAGTTACCCAGTTGTTGCTGCCGCCACAATGCTTTCAGCTGTGCAGATGGCAGGATCCAGCTGCTTGGCCTCCCCTCAAAGGAAGAGAAGCAGGGCAACCCACGGTCTGATCTCCTGAGCAAGTTGGACAGGTGGCACATAACAGCCTGACAGCTTCTCTCTCTGCTCCACTCCAAGCTTTGGCAGGTGAGCAAGGAGAAGCCACTGGCAGCTGTGCAGAGTCCTGCTTAGGCGGCTGGCTGGCTGTCATCAAGGAACCCCCCTTGGCCAGAGTTGCAACCTCTTTTTTTCCCCTATAGACCCTTTTCTTGGTATAGGGCCTTCCAGCTTGACTGTGACTTAGTCAAGTCTACATTTGGACAACATGCCAAGCCACAGCGGTTTAATAAACCCCAGTATAAGTCATGGCCAGTTGGAATGGTTTATAAGTCACTCCAAAGTGGGTTATAAAACAGCAGAAATTGTGGCTTATATAGTGGCTCATAAAACAGCAGTACAGATAACATGCGAAGTCCCTCCCAAGTGGGGCTTTGTGAGCCCACCAATGTGTCTGAATTCTTACTGCACACAGAAGACAATGCATTTCCGAAGTGTTAACTCCTTTTATAGCCAAAGGGTTGGCTCTATTGTAGGTATGAATTTGTCTACCCTTTTAATATTAAAGCTTTGTGAGGTGGTGCTCTCTTTGTATCATCTCATTTCAGTGAAAGGAGCTACCCAGCAAGCATAAATAGCCACTGAACTGATTTCTCTCCACAGAGATTTGATCCTACTGATTTGGCTCAGTTTTTCCAAACTACTAAGCATGTATTGCTAGATAAATTCTAACAGGACTCAAGCAACCTCTACAGTAATACCTGTATTTCAGAGCTGACCTCATCCAGAAAGGAGGCCAAGTTTTAAGGAATGCACTGTATTATGGAATTGATTCCTAGAGCACCATGTTGCAGATACATTTTAAACACTTTGAAATATTCTTCCCTGAAAAAGCAGCAACTAATATCCAAATGGTGTCAGGCATGCCTTTGATATGAATGGGATGAGAGAGGTCCTGAAGGCATTCAGGCCTTCTTCATTTCTTTCATGGCAGCAAATTGATTACCACTGTTAAACAGAATGGAAGCACAATAAATTCCAGACAGAAGTATTAAAATCTGTGGGTAAAGAAATAAAATATAAAATGGATTGTGGAATGGAGCTACAGTTAAAACTGGAGTTTCAGTGTTCAACTAGTAAAAGGGAGTGGAGATAAGAATGGATATGGAGCAGACGTGAAGCTGAAGAACATTGAATGCAGCGCCACTTATTTCTGAGTAAATGTGCATGAGACCATGCTTCCCATTCACTCGGTAGGAGTCCCCAACCTGCTGGGGCCCATGGGGACCATCACAAAATGCCTCCCATGGAGGATGCAGCTAGTCACATTGCAATGGCTGCTCTGAAGTAATATAAAGAGGTGTGGGGAGGAGGGGGGAAATGAGATAGGGGCTGAGGAAAGGGGGAGAAACAGCTAAAGAGGGGGGAATAACAAAACTAGAAGCTGGGGTGGGGGGAGAGAAATTCAGGAAGGGAAAGGGGATAGAGGGAAAAGAAGTAACAAGGCTAGAGCAAGAGAAGACTGCCGTAACCTTTTCTAAAGTCTTTCTTAAAACAATTGCTATTGAGGGAAGGCTTTTGTTAGTGCCATTGGTGGTCCCCACAGGTGTTATAATGCCCCTGGGCTGGGGCTGGGACTGGGACAAAACTCACTTGAATCCATCCTGTTAGCTTTCGTGGACTTCCTCTCACACTAGTCCTGGTCTTGCAAAGTGAGCAGAGCAGATAACTCTACAAACATTTGTGGAATGAAGGCTGCTGTATGTGGCTTGGAAGAGGTTAGCTGCTTGTGCAGTGGTCATGCAGGGCTCCATCCATGGCAGACCCCATCTGAACAACCTTCTTCCAGCAACACGAAAGGATGCTGCATGTGTCATAGCAGAAGAACTCTTCTTGCACAGCATGAGGGCCATGGTCCTTGATTCTGGGCAAGTGCTCCATGAACACTGGGTGTGCTTGCCAGGACCCCAGACTCAGGGCTACAACAAAGGGGAGTGGAATCCAGGGAGCTGAGCCCAGGGAATCTGTTGGGTTCCCAGCCCCAGAATGGATTCCTCCACATCCCTACCTTGGGCAGACTATTTGACAAGTTGTTATGCTGATAAGTGTGAACTATGCATTGCCATTAGAAATTTGTAATAAATGTTGGGTCCCATGTGATGTTAACACACATGAATGAACAAATGAGCCTTTGCAACTGAAGGTATCCTGAAAAGGGTCTCTCCTACAGATTTTAATAACCAGACTGGTTTATTAGATTCACAGGGTATGGCTAAAATTCTTACCAGGACTATATCATTCTTAAGAAATCAGTCTGTTCATTAGTATTTCAGTGTACCAGAGCAATACTAATTGTAGTTAATAGTACTGTGTTTCATCAAGAAATTCTTGACAGGTTTATGTGCTATCCCAAGAACTGTGCAATATTTCTACTACAGTGAAATCCATATATTATGCAAGCTTACTTTTAGAGTTCTGATCATTGTGTTGTGTGTGGCCCATCTTTGCCCAGTGTCTGAACCCTTGGAAAGGGCCAGTGGAAATGAGCACTGGATACTACTGCTTGGAGCATCCTGTTGACTATTCCACTACCTTCCCTCTCCTCTGGACAGCAGGGGAGTTGTGACTGTAGGTTTTGTAGAGAAGGAGGCTGATAACTACAGTTATTTTGTCTTGACCAAAACAGTTTTTGTCTTAGCTTTTGGCTTCTCTAGATCCCTACATTTAGGAAAGATTCCTACATTTACATATTTGGGATATTTTAGTGCAATTCTTATAGTGCAATGAGTTATTAATAAGACAACATTACTGATCCTGCATGTTAAGTAAATGATTATTTCTATAGAAATGAAGATGGGTTAAATACAATAAGCATAAGCTGCAGAAGAAGGGAAACAGTGACAATGACAAATGCAATACTTGGAAAGCATGAGGGGAGTGTTTCTGGCAGAACATACGGTAAGTTTAAGGCAGCGGTCCTCAAACTTTTTCAATAGGGGGCCAGTTGAAAGGCTGCGGTGACCGTGGCAGGCCGGTGAGGTGGGCATGCCTGAGGGAGCGTGAGGCGGCATCAGGCATGCGCAATGGTGGCTCGCGCGCTCAGAGATCTCCCAGTGAGTCCAAAACCATCTCCAAGTGTGCGAGCCACCACCTCACTGCCCACGCTGTGAGGCAGTGGCAAGCGCGTGCGTACAGCAGGCAGGCGGCGGCTTGCTTGCTCGGACACAATCTCCGAGTGAGCAAGCCACCACCTCCCTGCCTGCGCAGCAAGCATGCGCACAGGCAGCGAACAGTGGTGCGGGCCGGATGGATGCCCATGGCGGGCCGGATCTGTCCCACAGGCCATAGTTTGAGGACCCTTGGTTTAAGGTTTTGCATATATGGCCACAGGAAAATGAGAGCATAGCAAAGTTTAAGGAACTAAAAGAAGATACGTTTCAGAAGCTGGAAAAGTGTTCTATGGAATTTGAGGTAAGTATATAATGTTTGTCTTGGATGGGACCAAGAAAGTACCAAGTGATCAACCAGGAAATGTACTAAGAATTTTGAAATATAATGAGGCTACTAATGCTGCTAACAATAAAAAGGAGTAATATATTGAAGCCTGACAATGCATCTCTACTTACAAGTAAGCCTTATTGAGTTTGATAAGTATGTGTAGGATTATTGTGTTGGACAAAATAATAACAATGGGATGACATTACAAATAAAGGTCAGAAGGAAGAACTTTTCCCCTCTCTGCTTCAATTTGTGACTATGAGAAAAACACCATGGATAGTGGTCTACTCATGTATGAAGGATTCTTGGTGCATCATTTCTAGTAGCTAATGAAAGGTTTATGGCTGCAACCTTTATCTGGGAGAAAGGTACATTAAACATTCTAAGGTTATACTACACAAATTAAA